CTCTTCAACTCCTGCTGCTTTATAAAGCTAAAAAATGTCAATAGCCCATTTCAGTTTTTGTTCTGTTATTATTAGCTCGGCCACTTCCCAGTCTTCTCTGCAAGGATTGTGGGGTTCGGCCGGAGCTACATGCTTGTCAATAGATATGCTATCTGGAAAGTGTATGAAGTGTGTGAAATAGGAGGTTAGCTCCCTCTTCATCTTCTTCCGTGTAGCTTTCTTCAGATTTCTCAAGTGTCATGTCCGGGATAGGCCCACTCATGGCCATGACTGTGATGTATGTAGTCTAGATGCATAAGGAATAGAAGTGATATTTTTGCAAAACAATCTAAAATCGGACTAAAATCAGACAGCTTTGTCCTCCTTATATTTTATTACTTATTGTACTCTGTTAATTATCTCTCGGTGTAGGCCACGCATCTCGTGTTTAAATAAAAAAATTAAGCTTAAAATTTTGAAACGACGAGCAAAAACGAACTTTTTACACTTTGTGTTTGTGACTAACTGAAACGTTCTTAACCTCGGTTAAAAACCAGGGAAAAGAACGAGGTAGGTGTGTAGGCACCTTTAATTTGATGAGATACATTTTATTTCCTTTTTTTTTTTCTCTTCAACTGAAATAAAAGGAAATTCAAATTATTTCCAATACACTTTCACTGAAGTAATTTCCAGGTAATTTTATTTTTTTAGGGCGGATTCTCGCTCGAAGCGAATTTCATGTGGTTAGATAATGGCAAAAGAGCACAAGAAAAGATTGAATAAGAGAAATTAATCGAATTCTTTAAATCGATCGATAGTTTTGATTCCGTTTACTTTTTTTCTGATCGAGAAGAGTTCACGGTTGGTTTTTCGATTGCATTGTCGTTAGTTGGCGGTTTTGAAACTGACTTGGAACATTTCCCGATCTGCGAAATAAGTACCCACTTATTAAAATTCTGGAAGTATTTTAGATCACTTAAAAGCAGGTTTGTTATGTTTTAAACATTTTGTTTAAAAACAATTGATTTAAGCCTGTTTAAAATACCACTCGTGGTTTTAACCAAATGTTTAAACCTGTTTGGTTTGGTTTGGTTGGGTTATAAATAATACAAACACTTCTCTTTCAACTATTTAATAAAAAAACAACTGTAATACAAAAGGGATAGAAAAACAAAGTAATCACATCAATCTAATATTGTGCCTAGAAAGCCAAATCGTACTCATTATAACAGAATAAAAATACCTAACTCTGATGACAGAACTAATACAAAACGTGGATGGTACTTAAAAACCTTAAACCTATTATTCTGTGCTACAAGTCGGAGGAATACTAAAGTTCTCTGAAAATCGAAATAAGTTTCGCTGCCTTATTTTGACCTAATTTAATACCATCGGCGAAGCCTCCATTGATGCGCGTGATGCGTCGCATCCTTTCAAAATATATATTTTTTTAAATTCAACTAGTCATATTTTGTCTGAAAAGGCGAAATTTTGGTTTTATTTGGAAAAAGCCAAAGAAAATTGAAAATCTCCCTAAGTAGTGCATACATAGTTAATATTGAAATGCACAATGAAAGAGTAAAAGTAAATAGACAAATTGTGGGAAACCTGATTAATGTGACATGCCTTTAAAATTTAAAATCTACAGATACGTTCACAGCTTTGTTTTTAACATAAATTTAGTTCTTTTTTAAATTGGCTTGATATTTTTAACCTGTTACATTTTTTGGTTGTTTTATTTTTGTAACTTCAAAATTAAATACCTACTTCAATAAAAAAATATTGTATTGGTAAACTGTTAATTGGAGTTACTTATAACATCCTCTTGTATTGATGCCATGGTATCGCTAAGTCACGCTATCGCCGCGGCGCTGTTTATTACGGAATTTAAAACAAGGACTTTAAACAAGTTTTAAACATAATTTTGACTTTAGATTATCGTGTTTAAAAGAATTTAAACTGTTTTAGATCATGAAAAAAAAATGTTTTTAGACTGCTTAATAGACTTTCGAGAAAATTTTAAATAATTGCTATATCTAATAATAAATTAAATCTATTTCAAAAAAAAGATAACTTGGCCAGAATATAATATTAGTTTCGTTATCTCAAAATATCTACGGACCCAACCTATTTCTTTAACGTAATCATTCTTACTTCTACATGCGGGGCTCTGTAGAAGTGGACCGACTAACCCTAGCTACTCGTGGGAACACTATGAGATCAAACAATCATAAAAACACCACCGGTGAAGCTGTGGGGAAACCCCCTAGTAACACTGGGAACATTATGAATGAAAGTTCCAAGGGACCAATCCCAAAGGGAACTACAGGAGAGGCGGCTGACACTTGCGTGAGGCCAGCCTCTACAAGTGGGGACACTCTCGTGGAAGACGTGAGGAGGAGACATGACCCAGTCGTAATCGCTGGTGACTTTAACGCCTGGTCCATTGAATGGGGCAGCCGTGAGACGGACAGAAGAGGTAAAGCCGCGAGCTCCATCATCGACCTAACATTCATTAGCAGTGTCCTCTCAAAAGGAGGCTGTGAATAGGTTGCAGAATGGCAAGGCACCAGGACCAAGCGGCATACCCAACATCGCACTCAAAAGTGCAATTGCCGCGAGACCGGACATGTTTATAAGCATGTCCGACGCCTGCTTGCAGCAAGGCGTATTTCCGACCCGATGGAAGCAGCAACGACTGGTTCTTCTTCCAAAAGGAAAGAAACCCCCGGACGACCCAGCATCTTTTCATCCACTTTGCATGCTGGATTCAGAGGGGAAAAATTTGGAGCGGATAGTGGATTGGAGCAATACATCGATCCTCAACTTTCTGAATTCCAATTCGGATTCAGGAAGGGGAGATCGACCATCGACGCACTGGAACTCGTCACGAACATCGCAAAGGAAGCCATCTCAGGAAAGAGATGGAAAGGCGGTTCTAAAAAGTATTGCCTCATCGTCACCTTGGACATCAAGAACGCATTTACAACTCCGCCCGCTGGGATCGCATTTTGGAGGCTCTCGAGCACATGGGTGTACCCTACTACCTACGAAGGATGGTCAGATCATATTTCAGCGATCGACTTCTGCTTTACGAGACGGAGCAGGGAGCAACGGTGCATGGGGTCACGTGAGGGGTACCTCAGGGCTCTGTCCTGTGGCCACTCTTGTGGAATGTTATGTATGACGGTCTGTTCCACCTTGAATTACCGGCTAACACAACACTTGTGGTGAAATACTTGGAGGAGCTGGAAGCTGCATTCTCCATCACATCAGGAGGATAAGACAGTGGATGTAATCGGCAGACCTGTCGCTGGTGGAGCATAAGACTGAAGCACTCCTAGGGAGTAGCCGGAAGAAAATGGAAACCATCACCATTAGAGTAGGCGACCATGATATCCAGTCGCATCCCCATATCCGGTACCTTGGAGTGGTCTTGGATGAGAGGCTCAACTACAAGGAGCATATCTCCAGCGTCAGCAAGAAGGCGGGAGCAGTTCAGGGCGCGCTCTCACGGATAATGCCCAATATCGGACGCCCCAGGCAAACCCGGAGACGATTACTTGCAACAGTAGTTACCTCCGTTCTGCTATACGGAGCACCGGTGTGGTCAGAATAGCTGGAACTAAACACATATTGCAGGACAATGATATCAGTCCACCGACTCTCAGCGATCAGAGTGGCGTCAGCATACCGGACGGTATTACAGGATGCAGTGAGTGTAGTGGCATCATGCCTGCCTATCGACATCTTGGCGGGAGAACGCCAGCGACAACACCGTAAGAAGAAAGCCGAGCAGCGACAGGTCTTCTGCGAAGAGGAGAGGCCTGAAAGTCATCGTCTCTGGCAAGTGAGATGGGACAGCTCGACGAAAGGTCGGTGGACACATCGACTAATCCCGGATGTCACCAAATGGATCACACGTGTGCTCGGGGAGGTTGGATTCTACATCACCGAACTCTTGACTGGGCATGGATGCTTTCGAGCATACTTGCACAGATTCAAGAGAAGTGACTCCCCGAGCTGTCACCATTGCCGCGTGGTGACCGAAGATGCGGAGCACGTGTTCTTCCGATGCCCTCTATACGAGGAGATAAGGACGGAACTTGAGAGAAATCTAGGCTTGTCCATTAGCCCAGAATATATAGTGGGCTGCATGCTGAAGAGTCAATCGGCATGGAACAAGGTAGCGGAGTATGCTGAGACCATACTCAAGGATCTTCGCACCACCTACGAAGAATAGACAGCAGTAACACCAAATAAGAACGCCCCGGCGAAGTAGTATTTACAAAGAGTGTCGCCGGGGAAAGAACGTTCCTGGAGAGAGGACAGAGGTGTAGGTTAGGTTTTAGTGAGGTAAAAATCCCACATAACTCGTCTGGCATAAAGTAGGTTTTCCCAGGCGAGTACATGTTGCCTTTCACCTCTTAAACCTAAAAAATAAAAAAAAAGCCTCCACAAGTGGTACACAAGCTACCACCTCCTCTAGTAAGGGTCGGGAGTCTACCTCTAGACCCAGCAAGCAACACCAGCTACCATTTCGTCTACCCGGCCTGGGGCAACCAGGCAGGTTAGACGATCCGCTGAGAGTAGGTTTTAGCGGAGCACAAGCACAGAGATACCTCCGACTGCTCCACGAAGGACTTGCTCCGGAGGAAGCAAAAGCCAAAACTCTCCTTGCAGAAGGAACCAAGAAACAACCTGGCGCATCTCCAGCAAAGGGCAAGAGAGGGAGCGAAAACCTCTCCCCTTTGCTCCGACAAGGAGAGAAAAAAGCCAGGATGGAAAGCCGTCCCACACCGAGAGGCAAGCAGGGACGTATCACTAGCTATACCGCTATTGCTGGATAAGAGAAAATTGGGGTGCTGCCAAAGGATTATCCGGAGATTGCACTGACTACCGACCAGCAAACGGCTTTAGAAGAGGCGATACTGGACGAAGTAGTAGCGAGCGGATTGCGACGCAACGATCGACAAAGTGTCGGTCAGCAGTGCTTTGCGGGGATACACTTTAGGGTGGGCATGGTCCACATAGACTGTGCATCTGAAAAATCGGCGGATTGGTTGGTGGAAAAGCTTAAAAATTGGCAGGGGCCGGGACTGGTTGCAATGAGGGGAGAAGACATCCCTAAAGGGACAACCATCATGGTCTTTCTGCCAAGAAGCAAGGGGAAAGACACCACCTACCTGCTAGACCTTATCCAGGCTCAGAACGAGAATGTGAGTACATCGAGCTGGCGAGTCCTCAACTCGAAGGAGGAGGGCCATGGCCATGTCCTCACAATAAGAATTGACCTCAAATCCAAGGAGGCAATAGAGAAAGAGGGATATAACCTGTATTATAGATTCGGGACAGTACCGGTATTGGGCCCAAGAAAAGAACAAGCTAAAGGGGGGAGAAAATGGAGACAAATACTCCAGCCTCCACCTTACAGGTACCTCAGCCGGAGACAAGCTCCTCGACTGTGAAGGACACGGACGGCGAAACTCCAAACGTGGAAGAGTGTATATCCTCGGAGGAGGTTGATGACCATTCCTCGGAGGAAGGACATCTGTTGTCAGAGGGGGATGGAAAATACTTAGTATTAGTAGGGATGTCCTCCCTACAACAGGGGGATCTTTACATACCCCAGAAACCTGATGCATGGGATATCCCAAATAAACCGCACCATGCAAAAGGGTCTTCCGCCAATCACAAGACTCTTTGAGAAAAACCAACATGTAATGGTACTAGCCCAGGAACCCTGGGTGTATCAGGAACAAATTAAAGGGTTGTCTGGCAAAAATTGCAGTGTAATATATGATAACAGGCAGGAATTTCCCCGAGCCTGTATTCTTATAAGAAACGACATTAACTACACATGTGTTTCAGAATTTACAACCCGAGATCTTGTTCCAATCATGGTTCAACTTAATATCGAGAATTGTAGCAAAAATATCGTGATTGCCTCTGTATACTTTCCTGGTGATGGGCAGACACCGCCTCCGGAAGTAGAGAAGCTCGCGCGATTCTGCAGCCAACGGCGACTACCTCTACTATTGGGATGTGACTCCAATACGCACAATGAGGTACGTAGGGAAGCACTAATACTAACACTAGAGGTGAGTGTTTACTAGAATTCCTCTTAGCATACAATCTTGAAGTTCTCAATATAGGGAACACCCCCACGTTTGTGACAAAAACGCGGGCGGAAGTATTACATTTAACAATAGGGAGTGCTAGTGTAACTAGTTACGTGAAATATTGGAGGGTCTCAACGGAACTTTCCCTATCAGATCATAGAATCATCGAGTTCAAATTAGGAGGAATCATACTCCAAACTGAAATTCGAAGGAATCCAAGAAAAACCGATTGGGAACTATACCACACCAATCTCGTAGACAACCTGGACCAAATAGATGCAGGTAAGGCTAGGAACCACCTGTATCTAGAATGGTACGCAAGGGAAGTCAGTGGTGCAATATTGGATGCATATGAATCTAGTTGCCCCACAAGTAAAGGCATACAAAAAAGTAACAACAAGCCCTGGTGGAACAAAAAGCTGGCCAATCTTAGATCGGAGGTCCGACGATTCTTCAACAGAGCCAAACCCAGCGGTGAATGGCAGCTCTACATCGAGAAATTAACTGAGTATAATAAGAAGATTAGAAGGGCAAAGCGGTCTGACTTCAGATCCTTTTGCGAAAACATCACTTCAACTACTTAGGCAGCTAGACTACACAAAGCTATGGTCAAGAGTGGGCCCATCCCTAACATGGCACTTAAGAAACCTGACGGAAGCTACACGGAAGGAGATGAAGAGAGAGCTAACCTCCTACTTCATACACACTTTCCAGGTAGCATATCTATTGATACGCAAGTAGCTCCGACCGAACCTCACAATCCTCGCAGGGAAGACTGGAAGACGGCCAAGCTAGTAATAACAGAACACACCTTTCACACATTGACACCTTTCAGCCTTATAAAACAGCAGGTATAGATGGGATTTTTCCTGTCCTTCTAAAGAATGGTCAGGAAATAGCTACACACCATCTATTAAAAATTACAAGGAGCAGCTTAGCGATGGGATATATAAAACCATCTAGAGAAGAGCGAAAGTCATCTTCATACCCAAAATAGGCAAAACTGACTGGGCTAACCCCAAATCATTTAGGCCTATTAGTCTCACATCGTTCGTATTAAAAACGATGGACAACCATATTAGAGTAAATCATCTACAGGTTAAACCACTGCACGATAGTCAGCATGCATATAGAGCTGGCAGATCCACAGAAACTGCTCTGTACCAGTTAACTGAGCTAATACAGGCAAGCCTAGATAGCAAAGAAACAGCACTTTGTGCCTTCTTGGATATTGCAGGGGCGTTTGACAATATACCTCACAAGGTGGTCAAGCGATCTCTTGAAACAAGAGGGGTGTAACAATAATTCGCTGGGAAATGCTCCCAACACGAACAGCAGAGGCTGAGATAGCCGAGATAGGTACCAAAACTGTAGTTGTTAAAACAGCGCAAGGAACTCCACAAGGTGGAGTAACCTCCCCCCTACTGTGCATCCAAGTAGCATTTTCACGACTTGCGACCACATGTTTACTAAACACAACGTTGGATTAGTTATAAAAAATAGTTAGCTCCGGACCTTGGGTATTAAAATAAATGTAAACCTTGTTGTAACGTTGTGCCGACGTTGAACTAGTACTACAACAAAGTAAACGCTTCTGCGACGTAGAATAAACGTTGTCTTGTAACCTTTTTTGCTTAAGTGATCTTTAGGTGATTCGGATAACGTAGTTACAATGTTGGGTAATAAAGAGTTTTCCGACGTCACTTTCAGGACCTATTCCAACGTTATGCAAACGTCGTCTGTTTTATTAATTTTAACGTTTTTTAGATTTCCTTATTCTTACGTTGGTAGAACGTCGAGCCACTACCTTTTTGCGACTGTATTGAATCATAACCTTAAATCTTAAATTTTTACTTCATTGCTCTGTTCAGTCAGACAGTTCAGTGCTGTTTTTGTTTTTATAAAAAAAAACTTAATTAAAATGGGACGTAAGAAAGGCACATATAAAACTAAATTTAAATATACATCGACATATTACCGATACTTTATCCACTCCCTCGTTTATTTAGAATATAGCGGGCGGCACAAGCTAGACTCTAGGATGACTATATTAGGCAATCTTGCGACTAGTATACTACCTGTTAAGGCTGAACTCCGACTTTATTATTCCAGTATGCGACTACTCGAACTACTTCATCTTAATCTCCAAAACAACAAAGTGAAAGCCGCCATGTTGTTGAATAAGAAAATGTTTCGTTCCTAAAATAGCAATTCCTGCTTTTTGAATACATTAACTTGAAATATTTGACCCTAAACAATAGGCGGAAACAATTTTTTTTCGACTGCGAATAAATTATTCTCATTTTACTAAAAAAAAAAAAAATTAAAACTTCTTTAATTTTAAGGCCCATTAGTATTTTTCAAAGTAGAAACAATACATTTATCAATAAAGTTGTTTGCGTTTAACTTTTTTGCCTTGGGTAACGAGTTACAGAGTTGGTTAAAGTGTTTCAATAATTATGATCTTCAAAGACACACTTAAATACTTTTGTTTTGTTTTCCTTTACTGCCATCTGGCATATGTCTCTAATTAAATCATAAAAATAATATTTTTACTATAATTATCACAATTTAGGATAAAACGCGACTTAGACGCCATATTATTATAGTTTTGTATTTCTGTGAATTGGCATTTTAAATAACGTTGCAGTTTGTACTAAATTAGGCTGCTAGCCAACGTAGGTATCCAACGTCGTTTCGACCCAAAAATTATTCTCCAAACTAATGCAGAATAGGGTTGGCACGAGGTTGTGCCGACGTTGCGCCCCGACGTTTGGTCGCGTGACACAACGTTGTCCCGACGTCCAAATGCTGCTTGGGGAGCTTGGTAGAGGATGAACTACTGGAAGAATTAACTCTAGCGGGAATACATTGCATAGGGTAGGCAGATGACATAGTCATCATTGTACGGGGGAAACATGAAGGAACCCTGTGTGATATTATCCAAAGAGGACTCCGCATCGCTGAGAGATGGCGCAGGACTGTCGGACTGAGTATTAACTCAGATAAAACCGCAGTAGTGCCATTCACCAGAAAGCGAAGTTTGAAAAACTTTAAAAGAATCCATCTAGATGGAAAGGAAATACTGCCATTACAGGAAGTGAAATATCTGGGAATAACCCTGGATAGTAAACTTCTCTGTAACAAGGCATATTAAGAACATTACCAGCAAAGCCACAAAGGCTCTCATGATATGCAGAAGACTGGCGGGAAATAGGTGGGGCTGCGCCCCTAACATTTTGCGCTGGATGTATACCATGATAGTAAGACCCATGATTACTTATGGAGCAGTTGCTTGGTATACAAAACTAGAGCAACAACAAGGCAAAACCTGTGCAAAGTATCTGCTACTGGCATGTATCTGCATCACAGGTGCCATGAGAACATGTCCAACAGCAGCAATGAAGGCCATTCTAGACCTAACACCACTGCACATCGTCGTCGGTAGTTATGCCAATGCGACAATGATTAGAATGGTCATTGACAGAAACAGTACTGGGAGAATTTTCAGGTCAGGGGCTTCCTCAAAAAGAAAATTCCACTTCTCTAACTCCCAGTGGATGACATACCATGAATTTACAACTTTGAGAAACACCTCACTGTAGTATTGAGTAATAAAAATGATTGGAAGGAAGAAACGCTTATTCAGCACATAAAAGACCATACCATCACGTGGTATACTGATGCTTCCAAAACCAAAGCAGGGACAGGGATAGGAGTATTTGGGCCGAAAACTAAATACGCCAAACCAATGGGCACTTACCCCAGTATCCTTCAGGCAGAAATTTACGCTATCGAAAAATGCGTACAATTTATCTTAGATAGGAACTATCGAAAACAGGAAATTGTTATCCTATCCGATAGTCAAGCAGCACTTAACGCGATCAACTCAGGAACCATCAATTCGAAGTTGGTCAAAGCATGACTAGAGAAGCTCAACAAATTAGACAAAGAAAATAAAGTCCTCCTACTCTGGGTGCCTGCTCACCAAGGGATAGAAGGCAATGAAAAATCAAATGATCTAGCTAGGAAAGGAGCGAACACTCCACTAACTGGACCACAGCCATTCTGTTTTCCAAACGGGAACCAACTGAAAG